TGCTAAAAACATAAAAAGACGGGACAGATGCTTGTGAAAGACTTTGGGTGCACCTATGAATGTGATGCAAGAAAAGACTTTGCCATATAGTTTATCATTGAGTGACTACCGCAAACAGCCTTCTTATGCCGAAAAGAAATGCTATGCTAATTCTGGACATTGCTATTATGTTTCCAGACAGAAGATTACTGGAAAAAGAAATAAAGGCTGATAACTGTCAACACCCAGCTGTTTCTCAAGTTGGAACATGCTACTGAGAAAACCCGAATGACTATCAAAGCACCTCACAGTACAAGACACAGATTGTTGCCTACAACTCAGAAAAAGTCCTGGAACAATATTCTGCAACAATGAACTTTACAATGACATTTGGTGGCATATGAATTTGAATTCGGAAGAAACACATCAATTAACGAAAGCAGGGGCGGACTGACCGGTCGGGCACTTCGGACACGGTCCGAGGGCCCGGCCGGGAGGGGGGCCCGCCGCCAGGGCCGCCTTCAGGGGGCCCGGCGGCAGGGCTGAATTGGGGGCGGCAGAGGAAGGTGCCACCGGGTGGCCGGTCCGGTGGCACACTGTGAGGGGGCCGGCCGTTTGATGCTGGAGCCGCCGGACCGGGTAGCAGCCTCGCCGGTCCGGCGGCTTTCCTCTGACTAACGATGAAGGAGGAGGAGGAGCATCTGTCTATCATGCTCCCTGCGGTTCCCACAATTCCCAGCACAGGATGTGGGAACCGCAAAGGAGCATGACAGACAGATGCTCCTCCTCCTCCTCCTTCATCGTTAGTGAGCGGAATGCCGCCGGACCGGCAAAACCACCATCGCTCCAGCATCGCCCGGCCTGGCAAAGTAGAAGAGGCAAAAGAAGAAAGAGATATGGGAAAGAGAGGCAAGAAAAATATAGAGAAGAAGAGGCAAGAAGAGATATGAGAGAAAAGGGAAAGAAAGAAGATATAGGGGAAAGAGGGGCAATAGAGAGATGGGGGGAAGAGGCAAGAGATGGGAAGAGGAGCATAGAGATGGGGAAAAGAAGGGGCAATAGAAGATGAGGGAAGAGGGGCAATAGAGATGGGAAAGAGGGAACAGAGAGATAGGGAGAAAGAGGGGAGCAACTAGAGAGAGGGGAACAGAGAGAGATGGGGAGAGGGAGAAAGAGGGGAGCAAGAGATGGGGAGAAGAGAGGGCAATAGAGATGGGGAAGAGGGGCAATAGAGATGGGGAGGAGGAGAAAAGAGAATAATAGATATGGGGAGAGGGGAGAAAGAGGGGGGAACAGAGATATGGGGAAGAGGGGGCAATAGAGAGATGGGGGGAAGAGGGGGGAACAGAGAGATGGGGAGGGGGGGAAGAGGGGGCAATAGAGAGATGGGGAGGGGGAGAAAGAGACAGAGGGGGAAGAATGAGACACAGGGGGAGAAAGAGGGGGAATATAGAGATGGGGAGGGGGAGAAAGAGACAACGAGGGAAGAATGAGACACGGGGAGAAAGAGGGGGGATAGGGAGGGAGAGAAAGAGACAGAGAGGAAGAGAGATGTGGGGGAGAGAGAGACAGGGAAAGGGGGGAGAAAAACAGTGGAAGAGAGGGAGAAAGAGGCAGAGGGGTAAGAGAGACTGGGAAGGAGGGGGGAGGAAGAAACATACAGAGGGACGGGGGGAGACAAAAAGGCACACAGAAGGGCTGTAGATATCACTGGTGGATCCAGGGGGGCAACAGGGCAATTGCCCCCCCTCCCCTGTCCGCAGGCACCATGCGGGCAGGGGAGGGAGGAAGAGAGGACCTGGGAGCTCACCCTGCAGCTCCTCTGGGTCCTTCTTGCACGAGCACAGAGCGTTGCCGCGATTACCATGGCAACGTTACCGCTCTTGCGAGAGTCAGCTCTAGCCCTGGAGCTACGGTCTAGTGTTCACTCTCAACACTGTGACCCCCAGGGATTCCTGGTGGTTGCAGTGGTGAGAGTGAACTCTAGCCCCATAAACACACTGCCCACACACACACCATACACATTCACACACTGCCCCCATACACACCATACACATTTATACACACCATACACATTTACACACATTGCCTCACACACACACATACACTGCCCACCCATATACACACAGACCCCCATACACAGCCCCCCATACTAACATTGCCACACACATACACAGCCCACACACCCTACACATTCACACACTACACCCCCACACACACTGAACCTTTCACACACATTGCACCACTGCTCCTATTCCCTACTACAGCCCCATATCCCAGCAGATCCCAGGTAAGTTGTCAAACTGTTCTTAAATGGTTTGACTACTTACTCTGGAGCAGTAGTGGTTATTGTGCATAGATTATTTCTTTAAATAATTTACAAGTGCCCCAGTAGCCAGCCAGCCAACCCACAGGCTGGCCAGTAGCCAGCAAGTTAGCCAGCCCACAGGCCAGTAGCCAGCCCACAGGCCAGTAGCAGCAAGGCCACAGGCTTACATCCAGCAAGCCCACAGCCTGCCAGTCGCAGCCAGCAAGCCACAGCCTGCCAGCCGCAGTCAGCAAGCCCACAGCCTGCCGGCAGTAGCCAGCAAGCCCACAGCCTGCCAGCCGCAGCAAGCAAGCCCACAGACCGCCAGCCAGCAACAGTAATTAAGGTAAGAAGAGCCAACTTGGCCTAGGTATCAGCGAGCTATGTTGTGTTGCTATATTGTGAATAGAAACCAGAGTGTTGGAGAGACCACCCTCCAGGCCCCATTAGACTCCATTGTAGTCTCTAATGGGGCCTGGAGGGGATTCTTTCTAACACACTCTCTAAAGGACACTGAGATAGCCCCCGCTAGAAAGAACCCCCCTCCATGGCCCATTAGCCCTCAATTGTAGTCTCTGCTGGGGCCTCGAAGGGCTTATTGCCCTTTTGTTCCTTGTGTCTAAAGATTGTGTAGGGTGTGGCTGGAGGCGGGACAAGGGTGGCACTTGCTGCAGAGTATGGGTGGGGCCTGTAAGGGGGCCCTTGATTTATTTTGCCCGGGGGCCCTGAGTGTTCTCAGTCCGCCCCTGAACGAAAGAAACCTTAATGCAATTAATAAATACTAAGAGCAGATGCCCTGCCAAGAGAATGGAATATAAAAGGCCAGCAAAATCTTTCAGAAACCTGACATCACGGGACACTTGTACTAAAGCACGATTTGCAGCTTTTCTTAAACTCTACATATTATGTACATACCTGCAAAGCAAGGAACTCCTGTAAACATAAACACAGAGACATTGATACAACAAAGAATCTGTAATAGTTCTATTGCAGATGTGATCTACCGATGTACTCCTTGCTCTTTTGGTATACCTATACCCATCAAAACGTTAAATGGCTCCTTAGGACCATAGACCAAGAATTATTGCTATATTCTGGACTTCCAGGAATGTGGTGCATGGACAGAAAAATTATAATTACTAAAGCAATCATGTTATTTTTTTCTCCTGTATCGGAAATGTGTCAGTGACAATGTGTAATATAATACAGATACTATAATTAATGGTATAAAATAAACACATAATGTGTTAATTGCAAAGGTGGATAGACTTTGTGAATATCTGAAAAGTAATTGAAAATTATTGCTAAAATATGCATATGCAGCTGTGGTCTGGCCTACAAACAAATATATTAAACATACGTATAAGAGCATAACAGCTAATTACCCAGATGAATGTACATCCATGCCTGTACCTTGCAGCTAAAGGAAACATTTACTTGTAGATTAAATATTTGTACATTTACTTGTAAAGGACATTTACTTGTGGATTAAATCCAGGCAGTGGCCAGATTATCTGATTTCAACAATGTATCTTTACATGATTGAATCATGATAGTTAAAGACCATATGATTACAATAACAACTGCAATAATGAATACAGTTTAAACTTTAGAAGAAAGTGTAAAATATTTTTATTAAATCAGAAACTACTTGATATTCGTTTACATTTGCAGAGTGGTATAATTAATATAATCTAATTAATATAAGTGAAGTACTTCAACAGTTAAAGTTTAACTGAAAGACAGGCAGAAACTTTACTTCAACTATCACAAACCTTTACTTATAATGATAAACATATTCAGCATGCCAGAGCTAAGGTCAGTCAATGGAAGGTAAAAGAGTATTATGGATTAATCCTTCAAGGTTATATACATGAGGATTTTGGAAATTGATAATTTAGGTCACCAATTGCAAACTGGTGAAAAGATGTCAAAAATATAAATTCAACATCCATACCACTCTATGTATATATATTAAAATACACGTAATCAAATATTTTATCGTTTTTTTCAAATACCAAGAAAATTAAATTTGGTTTGTAATGATTAAAGGTACATATAACTTGTGGTAATGATCCTGCCACATCTAATGACTGTTTAATCAATATATCATGCATATGATTATTAATTCATATTCTGATTGTAACATATCCCCACTTCAACCAGTTATAGTTACAACAGATTCTGATATATTGAACAATGAGAAAATATAAATAATATTCAATGGGAAATAAGTGTGGTAGCACTGAGTGCCACAAACCACCTGAGTGGAAACCCCTTACACCACTCCAACAAATGCAAACATAAAATACATACAATAAAATAGGTGGATCACACTTCTGGATGTATCTGTAAAATATACAAAGCAATACAGCGTAATATTGTCAGTACAGAATATTGTATAGATTAATGTAGAGGTCGTGCATACATACAAAAAAAGGTGGAGTGTAGTTGGTATTCACATATGATATCACTGCAAAAGACAAAAAGACATGGCCGAAGCCTAGTGCAATTCAGTAAAACTTAGTACAGTAAACAGA